GGCCCCCGCGCCCGCGCCGCCGCCGCCCCTCCCCGCCGCTGCCCGGCCGGGCGCTCACCTCCTGGGGTCCGGCTTCCGTCGCTCCTCCAGTTTGGCGGCGGAGTGTGGGGCTGCAGCGACCGCCGCTGCCGCCCTCGCTGCCTCCACGGCCGCCGCCGAAGCGCTGCCCGGCGCGGCGCCGGGCTCGGAGGCTGGGGGCCCGCGGGATCCCCGGAGGCGCGAGCCCGGGGCGCGGCGGGGCCGAGCCGCGGGAAGTTGGCTCCGGCGCGGAGCGAGCGGGCGCCGGTGGCCCGGCCCGCGCAGGCACAACTTTGCCGCCCGGGTGGGTTCGCGCTCCGGGGCGACGCGAGCGCGGGAGAGCGGGGCGGGAGGGTCCTCGGGGCCGGCGAGGCTGGAGCCCGAGCGGCCGCGAGGAAGGGGAAGGCGGCGCGGGGGGACGTCTGCACGGCCCGCGTGGTGCGCGGCGGGCGAGTGTGAGCGCGCGGGCGTCTACTCTGCCCGCTGCGGCGCCTGCATGTGTGCGGGGATCGCCGCCGTTGCTGCCGGTAACCAGCGCCGCCGCGGCGGAGCCCGGCCCGGGCGCCCCTCGGGAGCGAGCCGGGGGACGGGAGCTCAGCAAAGGCGGCCGCGGCGCGGGCTGTGCGGCGAGCGCGAGCCCGCGATCCATATTTAAAGCCGCGAGTGGCCTCGGCCGGCCCCCGGCCCTGCCCTCGCTCGCGCCCGCCCGGCCGGCCCCCGCCGCTCGGCCGCCGCTCGGCGTCAGCCGCCCGGGCACCCGCGGCCGCGGGGAGGGGCCTCGAGCCGCGCCGCCCCCGCCGGGGGCTCCGGCTCAGCGCGCAGAGCCCGCCCGGCGCCGGCCGAGGACCCGGCTCCGCACCGGCCTTCGCCGCCCGGGTTCCTCCCTCTCACGCCCCGGGCGGGCGGCCGGGGCCGGCGTTTCGTCCCGTTCGGGGGAGTTCCCCGCTGGGGAGAGCCCGAGCTCCCACGCAGACCTGCGGTCGCGCGCGTTTCCCAGCCCAGATCGCTCTCGACGCTACTTTGTGCAACTTGCGTGGTGCGGGCAGAGCGCCGCCGGCACGGTCCTAGGTCGCTGCTCACCTTCCAACAACGGGTGTCTGCGGAGAGCGTGTTCTCAGCCTTGTCGGCTTCTTTCTTCCTCGGCAGTTGGGGACACACCCTTCGCCATCCAGGGGAATTTCTTGAATGTGCGAAGTGATTATTTGTATTTACTCTGTTCCTAAGTCTAATTACCGAGATTTAAGTACCCTCTGCCAAGCAAATAGTAGTAACATATCAATGGCCCCGCACCATTCCGATCAGTTAGGTAAGCCAGTAAGACAGGAACAGACTCAGCACCAACACCATCGGATGTTCTCAGTACCGCTAGTGAGCAGTCGCTCAATGCAGTCCAGCCACAGTTTATCGTGCAAGTGTATGTGCATATTCTAGTTACACATGTAATACATATGTGTGGAAGTTACTGACCAAAGTGCATTTTCAGCAGTAGCCGCCAAAACACATAAAGCCCAGAGAAACAATTTCACATACTGTCTAACTGGTCCTAGTTCCTAGTCTTTCTTCAACACGAAGCTATCTAATAAGACCTACAGGGGAAAAAAATTGGGGGTAGGGAAGAAACAATCTGTGGACAGAGACTTTTCTTTCCAGTATTCAAAACTGGAAGAGATCCATGGTGCCGCACCAGTGCTTGGGAAACTGGGATGGAGCTTGTATCTTTTTAAAAGCTTGCATGTTTAAAATCCTTAGTCCATGTTCAGAAGGCACTAGGTACCACCCCAAGCTGTCTAATGTCTGAAATTAAAGTGTAGTAATGTCATGTGTCTTTCTGTTGTCACATCTGGCTCACATATATGTTCACACATTCAACATAACCCACTGCAGTGACATGGGAAATTCAAACCCAAAGATAAAACAAAAATTGAGCTTTTAAGCTTTTGCCTAGGTAATTATATTCTGTTTCTAGACTAATGTTAAAATTGACTTTCACTCCCTGAACACGCAGTTAGCAAGAATCAGCAACCCCAAAGTAAGCTCACAGGCAAAGGGAAGTCACTTTTGTATTAAGAATCTACCACTGCTGTTCAGCAGTTTTTCACACTGTGGATTATGTATTTCAACATAGCTGGCAATTTCTCATTATAATCGTGAGCCAGCCATGAATAGTCAGCTTTGGTGAATGTTTGAGAAAGGAAAAGTCCAAGAAACACATTTTCCAAGCATTCTGCTGCAAAATGTCAAACTGTCCTTCACAGAAACTAGATAAGTAACTCCTGGAGGTAATTCACTATCAAGATTGGCAAGATTTTACCCCAAAAGGGGTCTAAAGTTGGCATCAGGGGTGGGAGGCAGGGAGAGAATAAGAGTACTATGCAGATCAGATTTGGTGTGTCTTAAATTAATGAGAAAAAGTTATCTTTGGCACAGAGTCAACAACCTCTGTTATCATTCTCATTACTTGATGTTTGCTGTCCCACAATTAAAAAAGCATGTTCCATTTCCCTTCCTATTGATTATTGTCCAGTAATTGAGATATATGTGTTTTTCCTTTGAAAGGTCATTGATTAACCTTTCTTAACTCTGCATGTGGTCACCTTTGCTATTGCTTTTCCTGGTGAGAACAATGAATCCGGAGATTTCTGTTCACCTATCCTCAAACTTGTGCTATGTCCCTCCATTCTCATAAGCCCCAAAAAAGAATTATTTGTTCTTTTTGTCTTGGGGTTCACACAGCTTGGTGACAAGAAGAATGAGCAGAAAAATTGATGGAATTAGGAAAAAAACAGTGTAAGCTTTACCGATAATGATTTTTTCACCTTTTAATCAGTAACTCTCTGTGCTAAATGACTTTCTAGAGTACCCATGCACTAGTTAGCTTATAAATCAGGTTTCTTTCCCATCATACTAGGTAGTAATAGGCACCTAAAGGAAACAGAAAGATGGGAGGAAGAACCTTTGTTTCAATGACAAGCACCATCTAGTGGCAGCAGGTGATGAAACCACCTGACCATAGAATGTCTCCAAGAAGACTGAAGATAAGTTTTCGAATAGGTCATCCAGGCATTCCTGGTCTCTTATAAGCATGACATTCTTTGATTCTAAAGCAAGAAGGTTGTATGTAGTAAAATAATGCAATTAATAGGACCTATGATGATTAATGAAAGTAAGCAGTGTGCAGATCTGACCTGCAGATAGGGTTATTAAAATAGGGTTTTCTCAGTCTTTGCATGACTTTGTATAGGTCCTTAAAGACGTCTGTATTTAAGTTTCCTCATTGCATAAAAGAAATTTCATTACATAAAATAAGAAGAATGATGACTTGTCACTAGATATTATCTGTAAAGCACTTTGTTCAACAAAGAGCAGAATCCATAAATATAATTTTCATATTTAGTGGTTTTTTTCATTATTCTATTTTATTAGGAAAAAAAGGTATTGTTGGATGTTTATCCTGGAGTTATACAAAATTATAACATTCAGTCCGGGCGTGGTGGCTCACACCTGTAATCCCAGCATTCTGGGAGGCCGAGGTGGGAGGATCGATTGAGGTCAGGAGTTCGAGACCAGCCTGAGCAAGAGTGAGACCCCTGTCTCTACTAAAAACAGAAAGAAATTATCTGGACAACTAAAAATATATATAGAAAAAAATTAACTGGGAATGGTGGCATATGCCTGTAGTCCCAGCTACTTGGGAGGCTGAGGCAGAAGGATTCCTTGAGCCCAGGAGTTTGAGGTTGCTGTGAGCTAGGATGACGCCACGGCACTCTAGCCCGGGCAACACAGTAAGACTGTCTCAAAAAAAAAAAAAAAAAATTATAACATTCATACACATCTCACATTAGAGCCTAAATAGAAGGGTGGTAGTAAACACATTCTACCTTGTTACCACAAACATCAAAGACTGATCAGAAATGTTTCTCAATATCAAGCCTTTTTTAAATACATGGCTCATGCATAGCCTAACAAACATTTTGCTATACAGAATAGAGATTTTATTTGTGCTAATATTTAGACTTGTGGTTGTTTTGTTATTAAGCAATATTGCAATAGAATGATCATTGAAGTCACCACTCTATCAATTTAGTCGACCACTTCATTATGTAAGAGTAAGAAAAGAGAAAATCACTTTTTCTTCTCATTCTGGAACCAATCTGGAATGACACTCAATGTGATAGATAGATAGATCACTGAAGGCCTCATTTTTGTTTCTCTTATAGTCTAGAAAGTATTCATATACAATCTGACAAATTCCTGAGTAAATTGAACTAACCTAGATTTATAATCTACATTTCCTTCTTCAAACCCTAGATTTAAAAATAGCTGTAGCCCCTTTTTCTGAGGAGAGAAGGCAAGTGAACACAGTTTTTGCAAGCTGTCAGCGTGGCATGAGCTGAAAAAATAATTTTATTTGGTTAAACATGTGTCATAAGTTGCTTCACAGCTTTAACGACTAAGCTTTCAGCCATATCCAACTGTCATTTTTCAAACACATGCCTAAAGTCAAATACTAGAAGAGGTTCTAACTTCTAAAAATGTCAACGAAGGCAAGTTAAAATCAAGGAGCTTAAGATAATTACACAAAAATTCAATAATTCCAATAGGATACCAGAATAATTTCCACTAATAATACTCAAACACTATGTCTGTGATAGAGAAACATACAAATCTTTCAGAAACGGTATTGACACATAATTATGAATGCTCTGTTTAATAACCTGAGGCCAGTGTTTCAGCCTCTTCCTCCTACAGGAATTCTCCCATGGATCAGCATAACACAAGACACAGGCCTCTCTGTGAAGGGAAGGAAAACTTAACAAGAGGTACCAAGCCACTAAAACCCATGCCCCTGATTTCAAAGATTGGTCTGGGTTTAAGTAAGACAGTAGAGAATTATGTCAGACTTCTTTACCAGAACGGACTCTTGGGACCCTGGGACTCTGATTATCCGTGCGTGTGTGTGTGCGTGTGTGTGTGCAATGTGATCACATCAGCCACTTCCCAGACACAGAAAGGTGCTTGTTCCTTTGTGTCCCGCTGGCCTCCCCGCCTCCTTGGGAGACGAATGAGCCCAGACGGCTGCTCGGAAGGTGCCCTTCCTTTTCCACCTGTGCACTGAGTCCTGTGGATCCAGCTGTTCCGCTGCTTGGAGGTGGGTTTTCCTATGGACGGACCACCGGATCCAACTGGGCTGTAACCATTCACCTCCCACTGGTCTGCTCTTCAGACAAGGCCCACCCTGGAGACCGCAGCACCACAGTCTCCTTGCAAGTAACAAAACAGTTGACATCACAAGTACCCATCTGCCATAGCATGTCCCTGATGTCTTCACGGGAAACACTGTGAGATTGAAACCTGAATATTAAATGTTGGCTCCTTCCTCCACCCCCCACCCTTCTTTAGGGAAAGAACATTCTGAGCAAATTGCCCTTATAGCTTTTCAATTCCCACTGCTAACCAAAGGATGCTCTGTTCTACACAGAAAACGGGCATGACTGGGCCATCCATTCAGTCAACAAATCTTTACAAGAACCTACTCACTTTGTATCAAGGACTCTTTTAGGCGATGGGTTCCCAGAACAAGCAGACAGGTTCCTGCTTCCTAGACGTCACAAGTAAACAAATAAATGGACAAGATAATTTCCACCGTCTTGGAATGCTAAATGCAAGGAAGTGGTCAGTGCCACGAAGAGGGTGACCGCTCATCCCAGTGTACGGTCCCCTCTACCCTCGTTACCCCTTTGTGATGATAGCACCACTCCCTTTCACCTCAAAAGTGAAACACTGGTGAGAAATACAGGATCACCTCGGCTCTGGAAGAAAGAAAGGGCAATGATGTAATAGAGCTGACAGGGCCAGGGCGAGCCACTTCCAAGAGGGGGTTGGGGAAGGCCTCTCCGAAACAGGGATATTTGAGCACAGATCTAAATGACAAGACACATAAGTATGAAAAATTTTAAAGGCGCCTGGACGGTACAAGCAGCATCTGGCACGGTACCTCACACATAGCAGGAACTCCGTAGTTACTTGTAGAGTGACCACTCGAATTCACTCTTTTCTGGAATGCTAAAAATAGGCTAACTTAACTAGAATATATTATTATTAAGACAGATTTCAGGCTCCACAAATTCCTTAAAGCGTCATTCTTCTTATACAATAACTTTTAGACTGTATCTATGTCTTTATGGCCATGTGCATAAAATAGCTCTCGAAGGATCCATAAGCAACTAAAAGCACTGTTTGCCTCCAGGGAGGGGAATTAGATAATTGTGGTGCAGTCACAAGGAGGAAGATTTTAACTGAATCATTTGTACTTTTTTTGAATTTTAACCATGTCGATAGAAGTGCTTACTTTTTAACCATGTCGATAGAGTGCTTATAATTTAAGATATATAAATAACTCCATTTACCTGCCTCGAGATATTTTTCCGTATATATCAGTATATAATTTAAACAAAAGCCCATCTGATAGATAGATGAATCTTTTTACAAACTATGACACAGTGGCAACCGAGACACCAGGGACAGGACTGGAATATCTAACCCCTTTCACAGTTATTGGATGCTGTTCAGTGCTGACAGTACTTGCTCACTGTCTACCTGCGCTCTGTTCAAATCAGTGTCACGGAGACAAAAAGATTTTCAGAAGAAAATCGCTGCTTTTCTTGCACCTTGGCGAATAAAAAAATTGTACAGAATTTTAAAATAGCATTTTATCAGACATCTTGCTGTAACTTTGATTAGAGCGGTTAGTTTTCAAAAACGAAAATTTGTTTTTTTCCATTATAGAAGCAATGCAGGTTTATTATGAAAAAGTCATAAAATAGAGAAAAGTAGATGGAATGGCAGTGAAAAATATCTCTTTCAGAGAAGATTGATAATATTTTGACATTTTCTGTGCATAATTTAGATCTGTGGTTTCCAGTTGATTGATCATATTGTATTAAAAAAAGGTATGGTCATTGAAGCTAACTTTGAGCATCTCTTTTGGCACAGAACACAAGTTTTAAGAGATTTGGCTAGAAAAAAGGGGAGAAACCTGAATTTGGTTCCATTTTTTTAAACCCAGGTCTTAGCCTGTTGTACTCTTATCTCCACACAATTCCAAAACTGCCCTTCTGTTTATGAAAATTCAGCTGGAATAGGCTGTCTATTGACAGTTTCTGCTATCTGGCAATGAAAATATCGATAGCCTCACTAATGACAATAATAATAACAAAAATAGTAATATTGGCCAACACCTACATAGCTGTTACAACGTCCCAGGGACTGTTCTAATATATTATTGTAACTCACTTAATCTTGTTAGTAGCGGTACCGCTTTCATCTTCGGAAGAAGCTGTATGACTCTCAAAACTCCCTGCATTTTATACATGGTCAACTCTGTTTTGGATTTACTCAAAATTTGAAGAAGTTTGGAGTTGGGGTTGATCTTTCTTTGTGAACTTAAACATCTGATCCAAAAGAGTTTAGCTAATTGTTGAGGAAATCTACACACTATAACACCTAAATTACATCTACTTCTCTAAATTCAACCGAACCTGACATGTATATATTGATATTGACACTTGCATATACTTCTGAGAAAGCAACTATCCAAAAACAGGATTTTGAAATTTGGAGACATTGTATTAATACTTTGGTATTTTTTTTTCTTTAACATGGGTACATTTTACCTCAGTCATTTAAAATTAAATTTTCAGCGGTGCTTTCTTCTAACTTCAATCACATATATGTGCTTTCTATCTATTAATACAACCCTTCCTATAGGGCACACGGTAGGCATACAAAATATAGGTTTGAGGACCATTAATAATTTCCCATGAAGGGTAACATCACAGTATTTGCTTATAATGTACTGTATAGGGAAAAAGTAGTGTATATATACGGTTCAGTACTCTCTATGGTTTCAGACATCCTCTGGGGGTCTTGCAAAATATCTCCCTTGAGTAAGGGAGGGACTACTGATATGTGACTCCTTAACTTTTTGGTTTTTCATTATAAAGTAAGTAGGAAAGGGAAATCTTTTTCTTGGTAATCTGGTAGCGGTGGTGGTTGTACTGTTTCGGTATCTAGGTACTGAGTCTGCCTCTAGCAATCTTTATCCTTAACTCAAATCTTGAGACTTTTTTATCTGTTTATTTTTTAAAAAACTAACATTTCACCCAGAATTACACAGAAATTGGTGACAAGTGCCAACATGTCTCCTTTCATTCAGCAATTCTTACTTGCTTAAGCCTAAAGAAGGTTATTAGTTTGCAAAAATTTGTCAGAAAATACCTGTGCTAGCACACGTAATGGGAAATCAGAAAGTAGAAGAGGGAGATTATTTTTTCATTATTGACAGGTAAATTCCTTTCCTCTCAAGTTCCCATCTGACTGCTTAAGTAACTTTGATCCAAAGAAAGTAACCCCAAATCACTTCTTGGTACTCAAATTTCTTCATAGGTATAGTGATATCTTGCAACTATAGCCTGGCATCCTAGTCCAGGGAAGGCATTAAAATAAATTCTCAAAAGGAAGAAAGAATAAGAGATAAATGAAAGTAAGTAGAAGAGTGCTAGATAGCTCCCCCTGCCCCAGCCAGCCTTCCCTAATTCTATTACTACTTTTTTGATTAAATTAAAATGCAGAAAGTATTGAGTGCTTATTTAACACTTGGTCTATCCTGGCAAGAGTAAAAGACATTCCATTTAGAAAAACAACTATTCAAAAGCTTCTGCTGACACTGCAGCTACTATTTGGAATAAAGACCACAGTAATCAAGTAGATGGAGGTGATTTTTCAGAGAATACAGAAGAAAATTTTACATACTAGGTGCAGTGGTGCCGTACTAACAAATTGCTTTCATAATCTTGCTTTAGCATAGACCACCAGTCAAGGAAAATGGAAGTAGTCCAGTGTAATACTAAAAGGTGAAGCAAATATTAATAAATTCAATGCTGCATTGAATCATTAATAATATGGTGCAGCTACTTCTGTCAGGTAATTCCTAATCCTCATAGAAATCTTATACACTAGGATAAAAATTATCCCTATTCTGCAACTGAGGAGACAGAGGCTCAGAAATGTCAAATGACCTCAAGTCAGACAAGCACCAAAGTTCTGGAGCCAGGGTTCTGCAACTAGGCCTAAGCCCATGCTCTTTCCACTATACCATGCTTCCCCTGTCTACCCCTAGGAGATATATGGAGAAAGGTAAGATTACTTGGGCCTAGGTCCTTGATGGATGAAGTGTGGGCGCTTTACCTCCACACTCCTTCCTCCTTACGCTGCCCATCTTCAGTCTAGCCTGCACACAAAGCCAGGTTAATCTTCCTAAACCACTATTTTAATTAACTTCCTGCCCCCACTCTCAAAAAATAAAACAAAAAAACTTTTCGGTGGGTCTTCATCTATTAAACGAAGTCTAAGTAATTTAGCTTTGAGTTAGTGGTGTTGAATGACTTGGCTTCAAACAGCTGTATTTGCTACTGATCGTATACATAGTTTGACAGTCCACTCAACCTGGATTTCTTACCATTTTCTAAGCATGCATTTTATTTTCTTGATCCTCGTCCCCTGCTCATGCCTTTTATTTTACTAGGAATGTCTTTATTTCCTCCACCTCCACCTCATGAAAGCCTTATTGTTAAATATCCAATTTAAATGCTACCTTATGCATATTGTCTTCTCTGATTAGTTCAGCCCTAAAGACTTCTTTCTCCTCCACAATGACAGCATTCAGATGTGTCACTTACAGTCACTGACACCATCACCATGTATTGAGGTTTTGGGTTTATGTACGTTATTTCCTCCACTAAATTGTAGGGTCTATGAAAGTAGGAAATATGTCTTATGCATTTTTACATTCTTTATCTCCTCTAGTACAGTCCCATGCACATAGGAGGCTCTCGTTAAAAACTGAATGAATAAGTGAAACAATGAACGAATAAAGGTTAGGTTTAGTTAATGACAACTACAAGTTCAAATATAATAAGAGCCTCCTTGAAACATCAGATCAAGCCCAAAAAGCATTTGTAAGTTTTAATTTTCCTGTGATTATTAATGTAAAAGTCATCTTTTATATTCAGTCATGAGCTTGAGTAAAATATGGATAAATTTTCATGAGAAATTAGGCTGAAACTTGCAATTTCCTCCTTGTTTTAAACCATCTTTCCTT